TCCTGCCTCAGACTCTTTTCCCCTTTTGCTCAGCCTTCCCTGACCACCTACTCCCAACCCCAGGCTGACTGGGGTGTGCTCTCCTCCCACTCCCACAGCCCCTGTCCATGTGCCTCTAATAGCAACTCTCACAGGATATGATCATTTCTTGGTATACTTCCCTCCATGAGAGACCATGAGCTCTCAAAAAAGACAGCATCTCTGCATTCCAAGAATCTATGGTGATGTCTGGCTCATCATTTCCTAAGTGGTGAATCAAATGAAAGAAGTGAGGATGAGTGAAGCATAAAGCTTGTGTCCTGTATGTTTGTCATCTCTCCTCCACTGACTTCTGACAGACACAGAGAAAACACTATCTGAAATACAGTAAGTGATCGACACTCACTGAATAAATCAAACACAAACAAACAAAAAAGGAACTCTGACAGATTCAACAAAGTGTTATAGTCATAAATATGAAAGTCCAACTCTAAGATCCTATGGAGTTTTTTAAAAACTGTATTTGTACAGATTTATACAAATTTCCCAGAATATTAAGAAAAGGGAGAAGGAAGACTATCATTTACTTAGGACTACAAATTTGTTAGGTACTTTACATATGATATTTTATTTGTTTTTCATAATCATCCTGAGAAACTGGGATTATAAACCCCATTTTATAGATAAAGAAACCCAAGTTCGAGATGTAGAACCAAAATTTGATCTCAGGTGAGCCTGACCCCAATCCTAAGCTTTTTCCACAATACCACTTGAATCTCTGGGGGGAACACAAAGCTATCTTCCTTATCATTCTATTTCAAGGAAAAGGAGTTCTGAAATCAGACAAGGCTCAATTAGGTCCTAATTCCAGAGAAAGGAGCTGTCATGGGGAGGCACGGAGAAGTGAAAAACTCTAGTCTTCCCTTGAGGATCACCCCCTTTTCCTTGAGGAAAGGTTCACATGTATTTTCTGTTCCTCCCATGGGGTTGGAAGGAAAATTTTAGGGTCCTTCTAAAGAAGGGAGGAAGCAACTTCTCCTTGACTCTTCTCCTTTCCCCAGAAGTTCAGATGGAACTCAGGTTATGATTCAGAGAAAAGATGGCAAGGAGGCTGCCACATAGGTCCACTTAATTCACTTAGAGGCCTTAAGGTAGATTAGAGAGGGAAGCAGGCCTGAAGCTTCCAACTCTAACAAGCCAATTCACCAAGTTACAACCTACAAATGTGGAACTAAAGTCCTTGTTCCTAGCTAGGAATACAGATGTTCCTTTTCCTCAAATGTCCAATGTGTAGAATGGTGGCATCTAATTAAGATAAAGAATCAACCAAATGGTTTCCCAAAACATGACTCACAAGTTGACTTGTCAGGTGTACAACAAACAGTGTTGGGACAACTGGACATTCACACACAAAAGAATGGATCTGAACACCTACCTCACACATATACAAAAATTAACTCAAAATGGATGAAAGACCTAAATGTAAGAGCTAAAACTACAAAACTCTTAAAAGAAAACATACAGGTAAATCTTTGTGACCTTGGGCTAGGCAATAGCTTTTTAGATATGACATCGAAAGTCAAGCAACGAAATCAAAAATAGATATACTGGACTTCATAAAATTAAAAACTTTGTGCCTCAAAGGCCACTACCGAGAAAGTAAAAAGACAATCTACATAATGTGATATTTGTAAAACATCTGTCTGATAAGGGTCTAGTATCCAGAACATATAAAAACTCTTAGAACTCGGGGCGCCTGGGTGGCTCAGTGGGTTAAAGCCTCTGCCTTCAACTCAGGTCATGATCCCGGGGTCCTGGGATCGAGCCCCACATCGGGCTCTCTGGGCAGCGGGGAGCCTGCTTCCCCTTCTCTCTCTCTCTGCCTGCCTCTTGCCTACTTGTGATCTCTGTCTGTCAAATAAATAAATAAAATCTTTGGAAAAAAAAAAACTCTTAGAACTCAACAATCTAAATAAAAAATAAGCAAAGGATTTAAATAAATATTTCTCCACAAATGATACATAAATGGCAACAAACACATGGAAAGATGTTCAACGTCATTAGTCATGAGGAAAATGCAAATCAAAACTATGAGGTACTTCTCCACACCTCCTGGATGACTATAGTCAGAAAAACAGACAAACAAGCACTGGTGATGATATGGAGACCTGAGAACCCTTATGTGGGTGGGAATGCAAAATGGCGCAACCACTTCAGCAAACACCTTGGTCCTCTTCAAAAAGTTAAACATAGAGTTACTATATGATGAGCAATTTCACTTTCAGGTATATACTAAGGAGAAATGAAAACTATGTTCATACAAAAACTCACAGCAACTTTACTCATGATAGCCAAAAAAGGAAACAACCTAAATGGCCATCTACTGATGAAGGTATAAATAAAATGTGGTATATCTATATGATGGAATTGTACTCAGTCATAAAAAAGGAATGAAAGGGTGCCTGGGTAGCTCAGGAGTTTAAGTGTTCTACTCGTAATATTGGCTCAGGTTATGATCTCAGGGTCATGGGATCCAGTCCATGTCATGCTCTACATGGAGCATGGAGGCTGCTTGGGATTCTCTCTCTCCCTCTGCCCCTCCCTCCACTCACTCATGCGTGCTCTCTCATTAAAAAAAAAAAAAAAAAAAGGAATGAGGTACTGACTCATACTACAACAGAAATGATTCTGAAAACCACTATGTTAAGTGAAAGAAGCCAAATGCAAAAGGCTTCATATTGTATGATTTCACATATGCAACAGGCAAACCATAGAGAGAGAAAATAGGTTAGGGTTTCCCATGTGCTAGGGGAGAGGAGAACGGGGGGTGACCGCTAATAGATGTGGGATTTCTCTTTTAAGGTGATGAAACGTTCTGGAATTAGACAGTGGTGATGACTGCAAACCCTAGTGATAAGTTAAACATTTGATTGTACACATTTAAAACAGGTGACTTTTATAACATGTTAATTATATCTCAATAAAAAAGTCACAACTATAAAAATGAGCTAAGTGTACACATTATAACATATGTACTGTCAAAGTGATATGACCGAAAAGCAATTAAGTTAACCTGAAAATCACTGCTGCAGGTTGGTGTTTACTTTCATAGTAACAAATATGAAAAACATTGAATTTTATTGCCATAAACTGAACACCAACATAAAGAAGGTTGGGAGGAAAAATTAATTTGATTTCCATGAAAAACATCCAACGATAAATATTTGCTCTCTTCCAGTATCTTAGTTGGTTGCAAGCTGAGCTCCCTAAAGCAGATAGACGAGCCACTATGTTAGATCTGCCAACAGCAAACAGGCTTGAAAGAATTCAGGTCTAAGATCCTGAGCCTTGGATGCACTGTCTTTGGTAAGTGGTAAACGGATTCTCTCCCCACAAGCTGTTGCTGCAAATGAACATTCCACAGTGGTAACGACAACGTAACAGAGAAGCGCTTTCAATTACCAGCATCTCCACCTCAGAGACTGGATGAACATTTTCTCTAAGGCTTTTCCTAGATTCCTTAAATGAATATGTGTGAGTCCAAATGACCCATTTTTCCAAATAAGCACAGCTCATGTTAGGAATATTGAATCACAAGCAAGCTTTGTACACATACTATGTAAAAGTAAAAATACAGTATAATATTCTAGAACTGTGCCTGGAACATCACACACACCCAATACATATTTGAATGAATGTTTATAATAGTAATGTTTAGCAAATAGTTTAGATCAAAAACTAAGGCAAATGGTAACAGTATTTCTAAATTAACTTATCTTCATCAACAGAAAGCTGTTTCTTTTTGCTTTATCTTAGTCATGTAATACCACATTCCCACTGATACTCAAACTGACACATCAAAGGCTATTAACAAAGATAATTAGTCCACTGTAAGTAGAAAAGGTATTCTGATTAATTATAAAAGTCACTGCCCCTCAACTATAAACTTTCCTGAAATAAAAGAACTTCAGGTGGGAAAAACTGCAGGAGTTTGTGAGATGATGAGTTTCTCTTATTTTATGATTTATTTTAGTTAATAAACTAAGGAAAGATGTATCAGTGGGGTTTAACAATAATTTGTCTATTCTTCACATTCTGGAACCCTAAGACAGATCTGAGCAAAACACAATTGCCTCACTAATCCATATCGAAGCTCAGCAGAAAAGAAAATTCTTTCTGAAATACATCTTAAAACATACTAATTTACCAGCATCAAGAAGGTCAGCAATTAGTTTTACATTACATTTTATTTTTTCTACAGCCTCTTCTAAAAACAGAGAAATTATTTCATTGATCAGTATCTACAACTGTGAGTACCGGAAATACTATATAGGATCATATACAGAACAAAAGAAGTGGAAAGAAACTTCAGAGCTCACATTTTGTCTTTTCAGGACAATTCTAAAAGTATCTAAGGATATGATCCTACAGGTTCACCCTGTGTGACGGACCCCGTCAGAAAAAGTCTTCCTTGCCTCGCCTGGAGCAGTGTAGTCTCTTTCTCAAGGACACATTAAGATGGCATGAGTATCTCCCTTTGTATCAGCATCTTTCGTGTTTGGGTTGGAAATCACACTACTCAACTCACTTACTTCCATCAACTCTTCCTTGATATGCTAATATCACAAACTAGCATTTTTTAAGACAATACAGATAGTTCCTTGGTCTCCGCATGAAAAGGGCTTTCTAAGCATACAAGCAATGAAATGAAAAGGAAAAGATGAATAGGTAGACAACGTAAAATTGTTTTAGTTTCCAGAAATAAAAAACCGCCATCAGTTAAATGAAATGGCGATTACGGAGGGGCATGCCCCCATAGGACAAGCAAGGGTTAATATCCTTACTCTATCAAGAGTCCACACAAATCAGTGTCTGGCCAAGACAGTACCCCCAGCCTTCCCCTCCTCAGCCTCACAAGAAATTGCGTGGTCCCTACGAAAAGGAGGTCACAGCTTCTCCCTGCAGGCTTTCAGAATCACTCTGCCTCCTTCTTCTGCCTTAGCCATTTGCCTCTTTTTTACCTCCTGCCCTTTTTCTTCCAAGTCCTGTTAGAATGAAGAAGAGTCAGATAAACACACAGTCGGCCTGGTTCTCATTTCAGAATTTCCCTGGGGACCTAGCCTCTGAGACACGGCTTTCCACATTGCTCTGTACCTTGTAGGCAAGTAACAACTCGCCCCAGGCTCCAGGGATACTTACCCAACGAATTCCAGCCAAAGCCCAGCATACTGATTCCTGCCTGGGCTGGGGGGCAGGTGGGGGTGTTTGTGTTGGAGGAACAGAAGTGAAACAAACAACCGATTTAAAAAACCTGAGACGCCCAGATAAAAGCCATCATAGAGTTTACGCAGGTCATTCACAGAAAAGAAATATCTGAGAGGCAACAACATTTTTTTAATGCTTAAAAACATCAATAATGAAAGATATGAGTTAAAACAAGAAGGAGCTGTTTTTTTCTGTGTAATTAGCAAAGAGTTTTTAAAAATAATAATGCTAATGCACGTGTCACAAATCTGATGGCGGAGTGACAACTTTCTGAAAGTGGACGTATGTTTCAAGAGCAGCCACAGTGATCTTGCACTTGGACCCTAATTGTATTTTTAGGAACTGATCTTCAGTCATCAAAAATCTCATCAAAAGGTTTAAATATAAAGACTTTTTCTTTTCATTTTTGTACTTGAAATATAAATATCCAACAATAATTGTCATAAGTAAATAAATAATGGTTCATGCACAACGTGGCTTATGATGAAAACAATAAAAATGATATAATAAGAGTTGACTCTGTGGGGTGCCTGGGTGGCTCAGTCAGTTAAGTGTCTGCTTTCGGCTCAGGTCATGAACCCAGTATCCAGGATCGAGCCCCATATCAGGCTCCCTGCTCACCGGAGAGCCTGCTTCTCCCTCTCCCTCTGCCTGCCGCTATGCCTACTTGTGCTCTCTATCTCTCTGTCAAATAAATAAATTAAATATTTTTTAAAATTAAAAAAAAAAAAAGAGTTGACCCTGCTATATAGCATTGACTAACGACCATTCACTGTTCTAAGCAGTTAACAAGTACAGTTGACCTTTGGACAACACAGGTGTGAACTGCACGGGTCCACTTACATGTGAATTTTTTCGAATAAATACGGTAGAGTACTGTAAATGTATTTTCTCTCCTTATGATTCTATTGATAACATTTTCTTTTCCCCAGATTGCTTTCTTGTAAGAATACACTATGTCATACATCAATGAATCGATTGCTTATGTTACCGTCAGACTCCTGCTCAACTGTAGGCTATTAGTAGCTAAGTTTAGGGAAGTCAAAAGCTGTACATGGATTTTCTACTGTGTGGGGGATCAGTTCCCCTAAACCCCACATTGTTCAAGGGTCAACCTCTATTAACACAGTTACTTCATAACAACACAAATGGAATTGATGAGGTAGTAGGTCACTCTCCATGTCACAGTTGAGGAATCTGAGGCACAGGGAGGGTAAGTGATTGCCCCAAGCTTACGCTGGGACAGACTCACATTCCCGTAACCAAAATCTTAAAATCCAAAAAGTGTTCACATCAATTTGTCGCAAACTCGTTTGTTGGCAAAACTTGACATGAAGCAATGCAAAACTCTGTAGAGCCTTTATCCCACTTAGAGTGACATCATCTCACTAAAGAAAAATCAATGTGTTTGATTTCGCGATGCTGCCCCAGACCCTGCTCAGAAGGGATACAGTATATATGCCATGTTATCTTTCTATAATCAGAAACACTCTGAACTTTAAAAGAAAACTAGTCCCATGGGTTTCAGATAAGGGAATGTGGGAGAGCGGAAATTCAAATCTGAGCATCCATCTGCCTAGTTCTGCAGTCTGGGCCCCTAACCACTAAGTGCTATTTCCAGAAACTAATGACATGGGAAATGTCTAGAATTCAAACATTCAAGTATTTATTAACTACATACCATGTACCAGTCACACAGACAAAATTGCAATTGTGACAAGCACAAGGGAAGAGAACTGGTGTCAGTTCTAAGGGGGTCTGGCCAGAGTGGTCAGAGGCAGTTTTCCTGTTTTGATCTAAGATGTGAAGGATGAGCAGGAATTAACTAGACTAGAGAGAAGAGGGAAGAGCATTCCTGGCAGGGAGAAGAATACATGCAAATGCCCTTGGTAGGAGGGAAAATGATGACAAAAGACTGAAAAAGAGCCAATGTAATTTGAACCCAGAGAACCAGGGGCTGGAGAAGAGGAAGGTACTACAGGGCCTTATAGGGAGGGTAACTAACAATTTGCCCCAGAACGGTGAGTCACAGTCCCCATGTAAACAGCAACACTGTCCTTCACTCTCAAAAGTATCTTGGTCTGGACATTGAAGTATCCAGTCACACAATTTGTAGGCCACATTAAGGAACTGTATCTTTATCCTAAGAGCAATGAGAAGTCATGATGGATTTTAAGCAGGGGGCAATGGGGGAGAAGAGAGACAGCATAATCAAATTTTAATTTTTAAAAGATGACTCTGGCTGCAGTGCATATTAACAGGGTAGGAGGAATATCTTCGGGCCGGTTAGGAGGCTACTACAGGAGACCTGGCAAGAGATAATTGTAGCTGGGTCTAGGGTGACAGTTGTAGGGATAGAAATAAGTAGATGGATTTAAGATAGTTTTGAAGAAAAAACGAATAGGCTTTGATGATGATTTAGAGATGGAAGGAGAGGGAATGGCAGGTGTGAAGGATGAGTCCAAGATTTCTGGCTTGCAAACTAGATGGAGGATAGTGTGATTCACTGAGATAGAAACACTAGAGATCAGGATGCCTGGGTGGTTCAGTCGGTTAAGCATCTGCCTTCAGCTCAGGTCGTGATGCCAGGGTCATGGGATGAAACCCCGCAACGGGCTCCCAGCTCAGAGAGGAGCCTGCTTCTCCCTCTCCCTTGGCCTGCTGCTCCCTCTACCTGTGCTGTCAAGTAAATAAATAAAATCTTTTTAAAAAGAAACAAACACTAGAAATCTTTCATCCATTTTGAGTCTATTTTTGTGTATGGTGTAAGAAAGTGGTCTAGTTTCGTTCTTCTGCATGTGGCTATCAATTTTCCCAATACTATTTGTTTAAGAGACTGTCTTTTTTCCACTGGACATTCTTTCCTGCTTTGTCAAAGATTAGTTGACCATTAAGGGTCCATTTCTGGGCTCTCTATTCTGTTCCATTGGTCTATGGGTCTGTTTTTGTGCTAGTACCATACTGTCCTGATGATCACAGCCTTGTAATAGAGCTTGAAGTCCAGAATTGTGATGCCACCAGCTTTAGTTTTCTTTTCAACTTTCCTTTGGCTATTCAGTCTTTTCTGGTTCCATACAAGTTTTAGGATTATTTGTTAAAGGGTCAGTATCTAAACTCTATAAAGAACTTATCAAACTCAACACCCAAAGAATAATCCAGTCAGGAAATTGGCAAAAGATGTGAACAGACATTTCTTGAAAGAAGACATACAAATTGCCAACAGACACATGAAAAAAATGCTCAACATCACTCAGCATCAGGGAAAAACAAATCAAAATCACAATGAGATACTCCCTCACATGTGTCAGAATGGCTAAAATTAACAAGTCAGGAAATGACAGGTGTTGAGGATGCAGAGAAAGGGGAACCCTCCTGCAATGCTGGTGGGAATGCAAGCTGGTGCAGCCACTCTGGAAAACAGTATGGAGGTTCCTCAAAAAAGTTAAAACTAGAACTACCCTATGATCCAGCAATTGCACTACTGGGTATTTACCCAAAAGATACAAATGCAGTGATCTGTAGGGACACTTGCACCCCAATGTTTATAGAAGCGATGTCCACAGTAGCCAGACTATGGAAAGAGCCCAGATGTCCACCCACAGATGAATGAATAAGAAAGATGTGGTATATATCACAATGGAATACTATTTAGCTATCAAAAAAATGAAATGTTGCCATTTGCAATGATGTGGATGGAAATATAAGCTATTATGCTACACAAAATAAGTCAATCGGAGAAAGACAATTATCATATGATTTCACACATAGGTGAAATTTAAGAAACAAAACAGAGGAGCATAGAAGAATGGAGGAAAAAATAAAACAAGATGAAATCAGAGAAGGAAACAAACCACAAGAGACTCTTAACCACAGGAAATAAACTGAGGGTTGCTGGAGGAGAGGGGAGGTGGGAGATGGGGTAACTGGGTGATGGGCATTAAGGAGGGCACCTGATGTCATGAGCACAGGGTATTATATAAGATTTATGAATCACTGAAATCTATCTCTGAAACTAATAATATACTCACTGTATGTTAGGTCCGTTATTAAATGAAACGAGACTGAGACAAGTAAAAGTTATTTAAAGCTTTATTCTATGCTAAGCATTAGAAGTAAACAAGGTTGAAGTTATGCAAAGCTTTAAACTATGCCAAGCATTAGAAATCAGACTGACCGGCCAGGGCCGCTCTGAGGAGAGCGACCCTTCCCAGCCTTACAGACTAATTTTTATAGAGCAAAAACCTGGCCACATATAGGTAGCCAATGAGATTGTAACATTGTATAGTCATGTTAGGCCATGTGAAGGTGGCCAATTGAATTCCAATTTACCCTATAGTAGCTGTTTGACCTAACCTATTACTCTGGTCAGAATTGGTGCTCAAGGTTGGCGCCCAGACGGCAGGGTTTACATTCTTTGGTGGTTAGGGAAAAAGTATGTGTGTTTTTTACTGATTGGATGTCTCCACCTGGCCCGACTCGTCCTTGTATTCTGGGCTCTGTTATTAGGAACTGGCTGACCATATTTTCCTGGCTTCCCAGACTTGCTTCTAAGTAAGTTTCGGTGGGGGGTGCGGTCAGTTTAAGTTTTACTGCACAAACAATAAAATGGCTTTTAACCAAGATGGAGTCACTCTGGCTAAATAGGCCCTTACACTGTATGTTAATTAATTGAATGTAAATAAAATTTTTTTAAAAGGACCAACTTTTTTTTGTAACCTCATTGCCAACTGTAACCTCAGTGCCAAGCATGTAATAGACCCTAAATAAATGTTGTTAAATGCAAAAACAAAAACAAACAAAAAAACTCTAGAGATTTTCAGGGGCTAAAAATTTAAAGGTGAAACAGCCGCCTACCGGTTGTAACTTGGAGCCACGGGCCT